CATGAGCTTTTGTTTAACTGCAGATCTGTCACAGGGCTGCAGCTCAACATGTCCTCTTCCTTCACCCATCAACCGTGTCTGTATCTGACATTTCTTTAATCAAGAAGGCTTTCATAACAGCTACCTTGTTGCGTAACATACCTGCGGCTTGTTCCTGTGTCTGCACTGAGCCAAGGCGGACATCAGAGTATCTAGGTCAATTGTCTTGACAAGCTAATCCCATGTTAACTGTGGGTGGATTATCAGCCAAAATAAACCTGTTCAGATGAGGGGTCATTGACTTTTCCATGTTTAATTCGGACGTCTTAATCAACGTTGATAAACAGACGTTGCAATTAAGTTTGGAGTCATAGTGGATCTTGATGTTGACATCGATAGTGACTTAGTGAGACTTTAATCAAGATTTAAGATTTAAAAAACCTTGTTGTCTATCACCTAGTGACAGAAAATTACCTTTTGTTGAGGCTTATTAACATAAAAACATACAAACACTCACACGACGACTCACATTAAGTCATAACAAAAAGTTCCATAAATAGGTAAAAAGTAATGCTTATCTAGTCTAATTTAAAATGCATATTGCAGTGGCAATAAAAGAGTTTCTGTAAGTTTTCTTTTTTGCTTATGGTATTCTGAATCGGCTGCCTGAGGGGAGCAGCTGAAACGAGTACATTGAAGCAAAACCTTTTCAACTCAAAGGCAATGTTGCATATACTCAAATAAAAATCAATTATTTTAAACTGGGAAACAGCTCCTAAAGAGATCATCTCCCACCCACCCGTCCGCTTCCTGAGTTTTGGGCTATAATATCACAGAAAACTTAAGGCGAGCGAGTCGGAGGTGGTTATGGCGTTTCTATCCTGTGACCAACGCATGACCATAGACTGTATTTGCACGTCCGATGCGCTCTCCATGCACGTGATGAAACACCTTCATTATGTTTTCTGTTTGCCAGTATATTCTTCTCCGCTCTTTTGTTGAAACTGTGAATATGTGGAACAACATGTTTACTCGAATATGAAAGTCTCATCATAGCGTCGTAACTCCGTTGCTTTGTCCGAGCATGACTCATCCGAAATACTTTTATAATCCCTGGTGGGACATTTCCAGCATTAGAGTTTATCTTACATAAGCATCAACAATCATGTTTTTTCAGACCTAATAACTTCCCAGGGTTAACTTCAGTGGCATATCTTTCCTTCTGCATCTCCAACACATGACATAATGGTGGTCTATAATCAAAAAGCAGCGTCTTTAGATATTTTCTGCAGCTGCCCAAAACAGTTTTACATTTTGGTTTTTATGTTTAATGTGTCTTTAGCCTTAATTTAATTACTCAAATGTAATTTAATAGCTAAGCAAAAATAACAGTAATGATCGTGATTATTATAAATAAATGATCATCTTGTTTTACGCTGCCTACCCTTTCCTCTAAGGGCTGCAGATTTAACATCATGATACTCCTGAAGCTGCAGAAGAAAATGCTCAGAGAGAGTAGATGGTAGATGTTCCCATCAGCAGGCAGGTGGCAGATATCTGTTATTTAATGTAGGTTAAACATATACCTGGATTTATTCCAGCCAAAGTCTGTAGTAGTTTTAATTCAACAGATCAACAGACAAATCTGGGGTTTCCATTGATAATCACTTTACAAGCCTGTTAGATGCTCTGGGGCAGGAAGGAGAGGTGCTGTGCGAGGCCTTCCCCCGGCTAAGCCCTGATTACACTCCTATTGTTGGACTTGAACTTGAACTTGAACTATGGACAGCTTTGTCTTGTGGGACGCCTACAGTAACAAGTGAAATACTGCAGATACAGAATCGTTCACAAGAGAGCAATTCAATTCAGAGACCTGAAGGCAGAAGGTTGAGTGGAAGTAAAGCCCACTGAGGCCTCGTCTTCTGTGTTTTATATGAATTTTTAGTGCTTAGCTTGGTTGGAGTGTATGCTCTACAAGGAAACACTAGAGGTGGAATGAGGTTGTCACTGTTCAAGGCAACCATTCAAAATGGAAAAACAAAAACAAATCTATATTTAATCCATAATAATCTGTTTATATGTACAGTACAGACTGTGGAAGATTCCCAAAATCCATCTGACCTGAACGACCTGCTGATCATGCAACTACTGTTAGGCAAAAAGATTTAAAGTTGATGTCATTAAACTATTTTAAAACAGAGGATGCAACAACATTATCTAATTGGATGAGCTCCAATCACACCTCAGACATTTGAAAAACAGCCAGAAGTGTAATTTAGTTATGTAATTTACGTTTATTTAATGTAATAATAAAAGGAATACACAGTACAGATCTGCTGTTTTCATCTTAAAATCCCATATTTCTCTGAGGTCATGATTTTCCTTCACGTTTTTCTTCTTTTGAATCACGTCGACTCTTTCACTACAGCCAAGTGTTAAAGCCTTTATTTGAGATATTTAGATATGTAAGCTTTGTTTGCGGAAAAAAATGAGTTTGGGCTTGAAAACATATGGATGGAACCCACTCATGTGGCATAAATAAACTCACCACATCATGACTAATCACAGTGGTGTTCATGACAAATTACAGTAATGTGAAATGAACAGGCCAAAGAAGACTCACTTTTCACCCATATGAAACAACAATCTCTCTTAAAGTATAAAGCTTGATAGGAGGTGAAAATGACACACATTGCAGTGAAATTACTCGTGCACTTAACCTTTGTAGTGGGATGGTATGGTATGGTATGATATGGAATTGATGGCGTGGCTTGGCATGGCATTGCATGAAATGGTCTAGAATGGCATGGTGTGGTATGGAATGGCACGGTGAGTTTGGTAGGGCATGAGGTGGAATGAATGGCATGGCTTGGAATGGTTTGGTATAGAATGGCATGGCTTGGGATGGTATGGTATAGAATGGCATGGCTTGGGATGGTATGGCATGGCTTGGGATGGTATGGTATAGTATGGTATGGTATGGCTTGGAATGGAATGTATGGCATGGTATGACGAGTTATTGATTTCCACCCTAGTAGCAAGAAATCTTGTGGGATGGTATGGTATGGCATGGTATGGTATGGTATGGTATGGAATTGATGGGATTGCATGAAATGGTCTAAAATGGCATGGTGTGGTATGGAATTGCACAGTGAGTTTGGTAGGGCATGGGGTGGAATGAATGGCATGGGGTGGTATTTGATGGAATTAATGGCATGGCTTTGCATGGTATGGTATGGTATAATTTGGCATGGTATGGCTTGGAATGGAATGCATGGCATGGTATGACAAGTTATTGATTTCCGCTCTAGTAGCAAGAAATCTTGATTCTTTTGATTTTGACTTTTTGTTGAATTTCATCATCTGGACTGTGGGTGATCTGGGCATAGATTTTGAAATATAAACCATTTTTTTCTGCTTGAATTGATCAGTCATGTTAATTTTGGTTTAGTTTTTTGACAATTATATATATATACAGGTTAGACAAACCTATGTGTCCCCTTAAATAAGACAGAGCCATGCAGAAGCTATAGCATTGTATTTTTATCTCGTGTTGCTCATTTTTCCACAACGTGCAGAGTCATGTTCATGCTCATTGATTTATTTTCAAAAAATAGGCCACAATGCACTGCTGTGGCTATGCGAGCACAATGGCTTCACTACAATAGCACTTGAGGCTAACAGATGGCCAACCTGTGGCCTCTTTTTTTCTGGAGATCTAGATTGTGTTTGTGTGTGTGTGTGTGTGTGTGTGTGTTATAGCTGCACAAGTACACATTACCTCACAAGTCAATCCTTTGTTGAGAGCGAGCGATGGGGAAAAGGATTTTGCTGCACAGAATGGTACGGTTATTTAAAGCAAGTTAACACAACAAAAGAGGGAGACTGGGGAGGGAAAGGGAGATAGTGAGAGAATGGATTTGTGTCATATGTTTACCTGCCAGTAGAGCCTTTTCTGCATTGTTGCCATAGCAACAGCGACTCGCTGTACTTGTGTGTGTATGTGAGACAAGGGATGTAATTCTGCCTGTCACCAGTGTAGCCTAGAGCCGGCTCCCCAGCTGCTGGTTGCCATGAAACCAGACAGACACATCCTCCGCTTCAATGATAAATATTTTCTCCTGACGCTCAAATCACTGCACCGATGAGCTTCATTTGGAGATGTGTCAAGATAAAGGGACACTGACGTCTCCTTCTGGACTAAAATGTATCATGTCAATTATTTCAAAAATGAAGAGTCATTATATATATATCATTTAAATGTTTTAAGCATACAAGTCACTGCAGTGGACAGCACTTTCAAAGCTGTATTCTGGTAAATGTTGTTGTTGTCTTTTAAGCTAGGGAAAGTCACAAATGCCATGTGGCTCAGGAAGATTTTAGCACATTCTGTCATTCTAGATGAGCCTTGCAGGTGATATTTTATGTAACATCAAGTAACAACTTAAGTACAATATTATCCATATCATTTCAGAGAATTGATTTTAGGTTTGGAGCAAATCCTGATTTATTAGACATCTGGCTACATTTCAATGAAATATAATATTAATTCTGAAACTTGGTTGATCTTTGAAATATTTGATGTGTAGTACGGTCTCTTTTTTCTGTAATTCAATTTATTTGTATTACTAAACTGTACCTTGCAGTGTTTTTTTTTTGTTTTTTTTTACCTAAACAACATTTCATGGATTGGAATCTGCTGACTTTATTGTGAAGAATCAGTCTGCTGTAACTCACAAACTTTCATATTGAATTAAATGTATTTTAGTTTTGCTACAGGTCTGATTAGCAAAACAATATGAACATATTCATGCCTTGATTCAATAGGACAGAGAAGAGTGACAGCGACTGTTAGATTGGGGATGGCGTGCAGCTAAGGGCTGGGGGGCGGAGTCTAACCCTGGGCCTCTAACCATCGAGCTAAACCTGCTCCCTAGCATTATCCTTTCTTGTTGTCGAGTACTATCTTCTGTGAAGGCAAGCATGTAACAACCTACTCTGTCTTGTGTTTTTTACTATAGAGGGGTCCTGAGATGACGGAAGTAGAGCCAGTGTTGGACTTTGCCTCCTCGGGACGCTCTGGGAGGAGAAACGCCCTCCCTGACATCCTGGGCTCTCCGGCAGGTGTAAACCCAGGTGACCTGCCACTGAAGCTGGCTGAGCTGTCTCTCAAAGGTCCCATGTTTTCTTTTATTTTGGTACAATGTGGAGCACACTGTGATTCATTTGAACTGACATCAGAATGTTTAAATGGAAATATTTTAAGGCTTTTACATAGAAAACAGATGATTTGATGGGACACACTGGGAGCTCGTGATGACTCATCCCTTCTAATTCTAACTCAACTCAGGCCTGACACTACTAGTTGCCAAGGCAGCTGACATTTAGTCCATGGCTGTCAGATTTGGCGTTGCAGATTTAAGGTTCAGAAATAGCTCTGGTTAGAGGCATCAGAGCCAGATTTAGGTTAGGGGTGCTTCTTGGGAATTGGGTTTAACTGACTTTTTCCATGCAAGGATATCCTGAGTCATTCATCACGACTCTGACATGAGTGAGTGTGTCTATCAGGCTCACCAAACGTGCACCACAGCTAGGATGAGTATTTTTGGCTACATAGGTAGCAGGCAAAAGTGCACGCTGCTGAATCAAATAATGTGCAACATATTTGAAACATGAATAAAGGAGATTTAATATCCTGACTAAATATATTGTTGAGTAATGACATAAGCAGTCTATGCTGCCGAGGATCAGCATGGCAAGACCACCATCTTTACCTGCTATTTGGTCTACTATGCACTTGACCCCCATGCCCATCCTAGCAGGTGGTGGGCCAACAGGTTGGAGGCTCCAGATACAACATGGAGTTCAATATTGTTAAATGTCTTTTGAGTTGAACCCAAAGAAACAACAGGTGAATCAGTGCTACTCCTTCGCATCGAAATTGGGCAATAAGGATGCCTCCTGGTCCCCTAGATTGACAGGTCTTCTGGGAACATCCAACAGGGCGCAAAGCGCCAAAACATGATGGAGGGATTATATATCCCTTATGGTCTGGGTATGCCTTGAGATCCCCCAGGAGGAGTTAAAAAACGTTGCTGTGAAGTGTGACGTTTGTGGCAAATTGTTTTGCCTGCTGCCTCCGGGACCCGGCCCTGGATAAGCAGGAGATTAGATGGATGGAGTAATGAAATGACAGTGAAGTCAAACTCCCTCTGGGTTTTTTTGTTCTCAGCTTTGTGTTCACACCAATGGGTCAGCGCTTCTTTCAGCTTGGTTATGTTCCCTCCCTATTCCACGTGGGGAAAGAGATACGACCCCTCCCACTCAGGGTTGCTGTATGTACAGGCACATACCGGCAAGAGTATGACTGAAGGAGAACCATCGGACTTCGGTCTAAAATACTTCAAAGTAATAAGGACCAAATCTACTTTGGGCTGCATATCTGAACGGAGATCAGTCCTACAAACTAGTGCGATCGGTCCAAACTTTGTGGAAGGGGTTGGGGAGGAGGGGAAGCAGTGCACTGAGGGACAGCTTTGTTTTGGTGAGAGAGGGTGATACCACGTGTAACATCTACTTGCCTTCTACTCTGAGAGTTGCATTTTGCACCTTCAATGTAAAAAATATGTCATGAATGCTCCTAATAGTACATCAGTTTAATTCTGGCTTTTAGCACTCTGATACAAAACTATCTTTGTGATCTGTTAGCCGACCCAATCTGCTTTGTATCTGCATTATAAAAAAATAATTTACAGGGTTTTGATGTTCTGTTTTTGGAAATGATGTTATGTGTAGACTGTTGCAAACTAACAATTATGCAACAACTTGTTTAATTTCCATGATCTTAGCCAACTTAAATGTTCCCCCTTTAGCCCCAAATGACTCCCAGATAATTTGAACACAATCTGGATTTTTAACGCTTTCAGGGCTACGCTGCCATTGGTTGTTTTTAAGCTGACTTTGCTGTTTTTGTGATAAACAGTAACTGAGTCAAATAGTAAGCAAAGAAAAAAGCCAATGCCTGTTGTATAGTCCTGTGCTCTCTGAGATTACATTTTATGATCCAGTTTTATGTTATTAAGGAAAGGAAGGCTTTATAGTTGAAGGTATTCTACAACACTGCCCTCTAGTTGTTGGGAGTCAAACAACACAAAATATAACCCCTGCTGCAACACTTTGCATATGAACTATTATTCAAACGTGCTGATACATTGTTTAAGAGAATCCCTGTTGCAGTATTGCTAACATGTTATAGCATTACATAAGTGTACCAGTATTTACTTACACCCTCGTACATTTTTTTTTTGCAGATGGTCCAGGAGCAGCCCAGTCCCCTACATCGGAGGAGCCTCCAGCCCCGCCGCAGAGTTCAGAGGGGAGTGAGGGATCGTAGGGACTCGTTTATTTTCCTCCCCCGGAGACCTGCAAAGATAACCTGAGAGACGAGATGAGCAAGGACACAGAGGGCACCCTGTGGGAGAGAGAGAGAGAGAGAGTGATTATCTGTGGAGAGTCAGTCTGTTTGCGAAAGCAGCTGAGCCACAGAGGGGAGGGTGACGGACCCACTCCCCAAGGACTGGAGCCAGGAGCTTAGGACTGTTTGGCACTCAGCGCTATCTGAATCCAGTCAGACGCCATTTAGTTATGAGGCAGTGAGTGTGTGTGTGTGTGTATAAGTGAGTTAAAGACTCGCTGCAGACACTACACTGACAATCAAAGGGACAATGACAGATTGCACACTGTAAACTACTATTTTTGTATGATTTATTAAAAAAAAATGGAAGAAAACATGAACTTACAAATCAAACAGTACCATTTCATGCTGACTTTTGTTTGAAAAGTGATGTGTGCTATTTCACTTTGATAGCAGCCTGTAGCGGTTTGAAGCCTTCTAAATGGCTCCTGTAACATAAGAAAACATTAGATGTAAGACTCTGGAAAGTCTTTGTTGTCTGCTCACTTATACTTTGACACTCAATGTGTATGATCTGCTGTATGATTTCAAATCTGAGGCGCTTGTACATTTAATCTACATCGTAAATGTACAGTTTTTACCCCTCATCTTTAGACTGTTTTGATCCAAGCAAACAATTTCTAGGGATTTATTCCATTTTTTCCAGGTGTCCCATATTGACATGAGAGCGCTGTCTGGATCTCGTAACATTCCTTAAGACAAATGTGACGCACTGCCAGCAGTAGACACTGCGCTATTAAACACTGAGATAGTGATAGATTTCTTTTTGGATTTTGGCTCATGGCTGAGTCCAAGTCTTTTTTATTTTCCAAACCTTTGAAAAAAAATGTGCCTCATGGCAGTTCACAACCAAAAACCAGTGTTGTGTTCTTTCTCTGATGTACTGTTATTGACCATTTTGGGCTATTGATGTTTCCTCAGTTTTTAAAGGAGGTATCACACCACCTCATACCTGCTTCACTGTAAATGATGATTTTAAATCATTCTTTCAGACCTGCAGCTGCATACCCTACACTCTATCAGGAAAAGCATTCAGTTCTGTGCAAGCTTCAGCAGGGCTTTTTTTTTTTTTTACAGCTCAAGGCTTCACGCTTCTTATAGCAACTGCAGCATATGTCGCTGACTGGGGCATAGGAGGACTCATCAAACAACACCATCACTACACACAATGTGTTTCGAGTGACGACACGCTCTCTGCAAAAGAGGAAAAAAGTCTGTTCACACTCATCAACACATACCGCAGAGGTGTGAATAGGATGCAAGACGGGGAGCGAAGAACACATCGAGAGTCCACACATGTCAGACATCCACTCACTGCGACTGTAAATATATGAATTGTTGTCAAATCCATATGTGTCATACATGCTGCCTTTACTCAGATTTAATCACAAACCGTACCCGCAGAGAAATGTTCTGTGATTGTCTCTATTTGAAGATGTGTTCCCGGTAGTTGTGTCTGTATGTGGATGTGTTTATCAGAGGCAACCATGGAAGCCTGGTGTGCCGCTGCCCAGCCTCTTGTTTCTGATTCAGTACTTTTGCTAACGCTGATGAGAAAGTCTTCACGGTTTATCTGGAGCTGGATAAGCAACACTTTCATGTGGGGGTCGATGAATCACAGGTGTATTTCGTAGTGTCCTGGATCTCTTAGTGGTGTGTATGTTTTACGTAGCTGGACTGAATCCCTCATGTTGAGTCCATCTGGTGGTGAAAATTGCCGTATTAAACCCACAAGCTTTACATTTACGTCTGTGTCTTGTATAGTGTCATTTCTATAAATGAAGGCTCGTTACCCACCATAGAGTAACACGGAAGTGAATGGAGGCCCAGCTTGTACCGCCTGGTTTTGAAGCTGCATTTCTTTTAATTTGGTACATTTTTTTTTATCATGAATTCTTACTGGAGTCCATCTGGGTTTTACGTTTAGAAGGGATTTGAACATGTGATCACAGGGACCTGTATTTACACAAGTTTTTTGTGAGAAATAAAAAAAAAAACCTGACAACCCTTGTGTCTATCAAATAAAATAGTATTTTACAGGCAGTGGTGTAAAGAAGTGGAAATACTCTTACATGTGTCCCAAAATGTTTTTTTAAGTGGCCCACCCAGCAGAGGATAAAGGCCTCTGTTAAAAAAAGTGAGATTTGGGACGCTGGTGGCGCAATGGTTAGTGTTCATGCCCAATGTACTGAGGCTATAGTCCTCCAAGCGGGAAGCCTAGGTTCAAATCCGACCTGTAGCTCCTTCCCCGCATGTCATTCCCTGCTTTCTCCCTGATTTCCGACTCTGTCTACTGTCCTATCTCTCTCATAATGGCACAAAAAGCCCAAAGCTCAAAGGGCAATGGGAACCTGTGAATGAAGGCATGATAAATATGTGAAATCAAAAATGGAATTTTGAGTAACCAAATGTTTTTTTCAGAATCCCCAGCAAAATGGGTGATTCCACAGAAAAAAGAGAGGTTAGGTTGAGGGTGTTTCTGTTGTAAATGTTTCATGATGGAAACGCGACAGATTGTGGATTATTTTAGAATGTATTCGGTTAAGGTCAGACGAAAGCAACAGAACACAAATGGCTGACAAAGTTTTCATGTTAACAGTCTTTGATTATATTCTGTTAACAGCTACAACCTGCAAATTCCTTTCCATTTGGATAGACTTCCAAAAGGCTTGAAAGAAGACATTACTTTTACTTGTAAAGGTCAGATATACTGTATACGGTTCATTTCTTCAACGTCAGTGAATCATATTTCCTTTTCAGCTCACTACACCTGGCTCCTATACAAATTAAATGTCTTACACATACTGTAACATGTATACAGGGCTGTACAAGAAGAATTACCCTGACATGGGAGACAGATTTAAAATAATATATCTACAAAATAACCAAGATGAATGAATTCTTAAAAATCCTACTAACACTGTTCCTTAACAGTCTACATTTATGTTTAAAATGAGTTCATCCATAACATGTTAGCATGAATTAGAATCATAATCAAACAGTTGGAAAATAACTTGCAGCATGACACTGTTCAATCAACATAATTGACTGCTCTGAAAAAAGGCAGAGGTCAACACATCACTTTGGTTTAAAGTGATGACCGGTTTTAATGCTGCTTTAAATGTTGAAGACTAAATAAATCAGCTAACGGTGAGATTTGAAGCCAGAAGTCACACATAAGCGCTCACTGTTTTGGCAAACTATAGAGGTCACTGTTGCCTTTTATATATCTTTCATGTTTTATTTAAGCACATAAATGATTCATCATGTGTTGTAACAACCTAATTTTAAACCCCTTCTAAATATTTAATAAGAGATGTCTGGTTTAAAATGAAATACTGGGAGTTTATTTTGGTGGCTGTAGGTGCTTCATTAATCTGTAACAAATTGATTAAAAAACATAAGAGTACAGATCTTCACTTTCTGCTAAGCACAACAAAGCTTTACTTCATTTAATTACAGCCCAAAACTCTGATTGAGGGCACTTGGTGCTGTGGTAATCTGTCTTTCTCTTGAGTAAGAGCATACAAAGAGCACTTGAAGGCAGCACAAAGCAAGACATGCACTCTCTGTCTGCCCCTTTCTAGAACAAGTCAAGTTGGCACACTAGTTACATAACACTGCAGTTCCAGTGCTTGTCCAGCAGATGGCGACATTACCTAAATTATCATTCACACCACGTCATGTTCAAACACCAACAAGGGAATTTCTTTGTTATGTCTGGTACAAAGACAACGCCTCAAATACAACACTATTTGGATGAATTCCTTCAATAACACACATGTGCCGACTAATTTCATTCATTGGGGTTATTGCTCCTCATTCCTGCTCACATCTTACAGTTTTAAATCAAGGTTTGGAGTTTGACTGGGACACACCCAGTGGTGTCTCTCGATGCTCAGCAGAAGTAGGTTATTTGACGAAAATTGAATTAGTTATGGTTTAATTCACTCTAACAGTGTTCTGATCCTGTAACCTGTGGAGATGGAGGTTAAAAATGAAGGGCGTGTACACAGAGTGAACCTTTGTGGTCATGCAGACTGTGTTTTTTGGCTGCGTCCCAGGATCCCTGCTGACGGGAGATGAGACCATCCATACACCCATGGGCTCTTTGTCTCTCACAGACACAAGCACAAGTAAAGCACTTGCATGTGATGCCCTATGTTTCTTTTTCCCTTAGATTATGTAACAGGAACATTATTTATTAAATGCATAGCAGTGCCTTTGCTGCATTACATTTATGTCCTCTTACTATTGGTCATTTACTCAAGCAAAACAGACATGTATGATCCATTCGAGACATTTTGTTTTTGCTAAAATATCTCCACCTCTCAAGCATCCTCCTCTTCCCTGGTGTAGCTCCTCTGCCCAGACTGTTGCTACGTAGCTTGTTGCTAGGGTAACCTTGCCTTGAGAGAAGCTCGGGCCTTGTTTCATTGTATGCAGTCAGATTTTCTTTCAGAGCATGAGGGGAAGTGAAGAGTTGATCTGAAGGCTTGGGCTGCAATGAGGACAGGAGGCATGTGCGCGATGTCAGGTGGTTACAGCAAAGTGTGCAAAGCCTCATCATCCTCAAGCAGGTGCAAATTTAAGATGTAGTTTATCGTTGACACTACGCTGCACCTCTCCCACCAACAACAGTGTCAAATCAAAAACATTAACAACTTTAACTAGATCCAACATGGCAGTCAGGCTGTATAATTCTCCACACAGTGAAACAATGTGTGTATGAGGCTCTAAGAGAGATAGTCTTTTTTAAGGTTCATGGTGGGTGGTCAGTATTTGATAAAACGGTGTGTTTATGTTGCTTGAGCTGCAATTGCCTGTGGCCTGCATTGTTGTGTTAGCAGGCTAATGTTAGCACACTTTAGTTAGCTCGTAGCTTCACATTGCATGTAAATTGACACAGAATGACCGTGATCTAAAGACACTTAATGTGACATCCAGATACGCAGTGACTATGTTATTCTTATTTTCTCTAGTCCTTGACTAAAACAGCATCATACACAAGGCCGTCCTGTCCATGTAAACATGATGTAAACACAGCTGCGACAACAATACAGCTGGTCGGACTCACTATCTCACTCATTGTAGACAGTCATGACTCAGAAAGACATTTACACAGGATATACTTGATTTCTGTAAAATGCCGCTCATTCTTCCTGCGAAGGAGCCAAATGTAACTCTGACACCTTGTGTTTAAAATGGGTACTGCAGTCTAAATTCAAAACATTGTAGAGAGCTGTCTCCCTCCTCCCCCTCCTCCCTAGGGCCGATGCTCACGCGGGTTGCCATGTTGCAGACACCGAAGCTTCAGTGTTTAGCCAGCTCTGCATCGGTCTTGAAACCTTTCTGTGTTCTAACCTCTGTCCATTTTTTAAAGCATCTCATGTGTGTTTATCCTAGTTTTGACCAAGTTTCTGCTTGTGGAGCTTATTAGAAACAGGCTTTTTTAGGTCAGGTAGAATCAGTTATATCTGAACCAGTTCTCTTGCCTGCTTCAATCGCTTCAACACCTGTTGGTTTACCGTGATAACTGGTCTCATATCTGGCAACCAAGGGGCGTCCAAAACGGCCTTATGGGAGTGCTTTAAAACAGCTTACCTTCTCTGGTTAAAACAAATACAGACCATTCAGGACCAGAATCTAAACTCAGAATGAGGACAGGATGTCAGAGAAGCCAAAACTTCAACACAACATGTTTCCTTTTTTTTTATGATTCAATTCAGTAGATATCTTACATATTGCTCCTTTAAGTCGTTATTGTGAAACTGCATTTTATACAGTGTGAGAAAGAAAAGCTTTGAAGTCATAGCAATAATTGTGACTTTAATTAAAGATAGCAGAAGAAGCCACAGTACAAGAAATGTGTATCTCATGATGGGCATGAATGCTAACATAATTATTTTACACAGTGAAAATGAAAGTTCACACATTAATAAATCTAAAGTAACAACACAGGGCGTATCTAATTCCACAGAGCAGAGAGGCAGCAGAGAGGAAAGCTCTCTGTCTCCTTACATAATTGAATAGCATGGTTCGAGCGGTTAGCTACACGGCTTTCCTAAAGGAAATTGTCGTGTAATTGCCTCGAAGAAATGCACGGTGGTTCCTCTTTACAGTCAGGTTAAAGCAAAATGCTCTGTTACCAATCGAAGCTAAGTGAATGAAAGGCATCAAGGGCGTTTAGGTATCCCACTACTCTTTCCTTTTCCATCTCTCTTCGTCTCTCACCTCCTATTTGACCAAGCAAGTGAGAGAGAAATCCAGCTGCTAAAGAAGTGGGTGTCATAGGATGTAGACGTATAGACAGAGAGAGAGAGAGAGAGAGAGATTTTTAAAAGATAGAGGGCAGGGCAGATGATAAGACTGCCGCTGAGGCCATGCAGACGTGGGTCACAGAGAGGATGCCAGGCAGGCAGGCAGGCAGGCGGGCAGGCAGGCAGGCGGCCCAGTGGAAAGAAAAGCCTTCACGTGGAAGTCAACGTGCCATTTCCGACACACAGGAGCCTCAGGAGGAAAGATGGAGAGAGGAAAAGGAGACGTAAGACGTGAGAGAGAGCAAGTGATGGAGAAAGAAAGCAGGAGAACAATAAAAACTGAAGTATAGTACAGGAGCATGCTATTCAACAAAACTACCAAGCCTCCTGTTTTGCAAAGTAATTATCATTCTCCACCTGAATACCCTCACCTGACTGTTTCAGAGGAACAGGGTGCCATCAAATCAAACAACACATGTCTTGATT